ATTTTCTCAAGAAAACCGCTATGCGCTACTGTGCATTCCATGTTCGAGATATATTGTGTTATGGCCTTTTGGTATGATTCCTTTTTCATGAGCACTACATGTTTTGATTTGTCTGCTCTTAAGGCAACAATATCATTATCTCTCAACCATTTTCTAGATGTTCTTATATTCGTCCAGACCTCCCTGGACGAAATATTCTCATGTCTATTGTGCATTGTTATTAAAGTTTTCCATCTGAAATATTCCTTAGTAGTGTGGTTCAGTCTTTCTATCAGTTTTTCGACGTCAGGAATAGTTCTGATGTTATTACATGGAGGTGGGGGAGAATAAGATGGACCGTGTTTGAAGACATTTACGAGTGCCTCCGGTGGTTGTATATTATCCCAACATATCATGCCCTTTGGTCATTGGATGTCACTCTCAACTTTCTGAGAACCCATAATCCATCTCAATTTGTTTTCATGTTTAACTCAAAGTTTTTTCTCGAGAGTGTTTGGCCATTGTGTAATTTTTGCATTGGTGGCAATTAAGACATTAGGGTTCTGTTGGTATAAGGTATTTTCCCAATGTATAATCTCCCTGATTAGTGAATATCGTCGTCTTCTGGCCAATCTAATCGCTTTTTTCAGACATATATTCCTTATAATATTGTTCAACATATGACACTCGGGAGGTAGTCTAATGTAGTAAAATGATGGAGGAAATACTTTCAGATCTCTACACTTACAAAGGAAGTTTAATTTAGCTGAAGTTCTGCAAAGTTTTATTTGATGAGTGTTATATAATTAAGTATCCAGTTTTTTGAAATACAGACAATCACAAATATCTGTATGTAATATAGTATATAATTTTATTTTAATCATTACAGTTTTAGCCTTATAAGCCAAACTTTATTAAATCAAATTACCTTGCTATGTTAAATTTTATTTATATCCTAACATAATTCACTTTTTTTTATGTCTGTAAATCAAAACAGTTTTGAAAGCATTTTTTCTCAACTTGAAATCCACAGTTCCTGTGAATTTAGTTTAGGTTTAATTCTGTATGCTTTCCATAGTGTTCATGAGAGAACAGATTGCATTAAGACAGACTCAAAACAAAAGCAAACATTTAACAATGTACAGGTATCCCTTGTATAACATAATAGTTATGTTCCAAAAGAGTGCCATGTTATGTGAATCCATGCTATACGAAACAAAGGACTAATACAAAACATAGGATTAGGTTCCATAAGTTACAAAAAGTATACTATTCCTTTTTGTTACTAAGAGAAATGTTTATTAAAGCAATTGATAATTTATTTCCAATCAATAATTAATTAACAATCAGAATCAAAAGTACTGTATTATGTGTTAATTTTAGTTAAATGAAGGTGTTTTCTTTTTACAAAGTATCATTGTCACCTCAGCTTTTTTGGTGATCTTGATCAGAAGTATCAGCAACATTTTCATATTTTTTATTTTTATCATAAAAATTTTTTTATGGATGATAAAATATAAATATGTTATTAATCAAGAGTTTGTTCTAGCAAGTTGCATTTGTTTGGTCGAGTACCAAATGACTTTTTTCCAGAATTTGTGTTTGAATACAAAATTGTTGGAGTTGGAACAGTTTGAGTACCAAGATACAGTTCAGTTCAGTTTTTTATTTGTAACATACCATAGGTACATAGCCGGTGCCATAAAACATAACCAGGTAAATTCACATACATACGTTAAAAAGAGCAGTATAAATGGGTTAAAGTGATGATAATACAAAATATAATAAAATAAGTACAGAGACAACATTAATCAAACAAAAGAAGGCAAACAACAGCACGTATATACAAACCATACAATCAGTAGGATAAACGAAACAGTGGGCATGCAAGCCCTGTACAGCAGGATGCAGAGAGAAAAATGCATGTACAAAGGCAAACGCAAAACAGGGATAAGGCTGCACAGTTCAGAGAGAAGGTGTCAATGTACAATAGCAATGACAGATCATCAAGAAAAAGCTGGAACAGTAGTTCTTTTAAAATACATAAAAATTACATAAAATTACAAAGAAATTACATAAAATACATTAGGGCATCATATGTATCCTTATGTTTGAGAAAACAATTAAGGCTATGAGGAGGCCAGCTATAATCATGGGCCTCAGTGAGAATCCTAAGATGTAGACGTTCCAAGTCCAACATGGAACAGTGAAGGATGTTGTGTTCACTACTGTCAGAAATACCGCAAATGTGGCACTCAGGCCTGTTGGTGTTCTTAAGGGCTAAAGTCTGAATGGGCAATGACAATGACACCTGGTTGATAGGAAAGTTAGGACAAGGAAGAAAAAAATTGCACTATCAGTTTTCATTAAAGTAAACCTGATGTAAAGCACAAAATAATTTGAAAATTTCAATATTCTAAAATCCATCGGCAAATTTCAGACATGTATGCTTACTTGAGTAAAAAAAAGTATCAAATAACAAAGTTTACACTTAAAAATTGTGAAATTTTGTACAAAGAATTTTCAAAACCATGTTGTAGAATTATTGTTATACAAGAGATATTTGTATATACAGGTAACCCCCGTATAACACGGCACTTCCATAGCACGGATTCATGCTAACACGGTTCGAGAATTGGTACCATCCCTCGTATAACATGGTACTTTTATAGCACGGATTCACTCTGACACGGTTCAAGAAATGGGTAAAACCCTCGTACAACATGAAATGTAATAAATTTTTACATACTTAAGTACTAATAGTTCACGAAAATTATTATTTTCGTAAACTATTAGTACTTCAGTGTGTAAATTTTCTTTTCTCGTCTCCATACACATGGTCCTTCGCGAAAATTGTTTCAATTTTGCCATATCTCGACGCTTCTGGTGTTGCCAGATGTTTTTCTCTTATTCCATAAGTACTTAGCACCATATAAGGAAATTTATAAAGATCTTTTAACTAGATTAAAAGATCTTTAACCAAACAAATTATTAATTTGTTTGGTTAGCCAACAAATTAATAATTTATTGGCTAACCAAATCTAAACATTCATCTATACTTTCTTTCTTAGACATACCCTCACAAATATTCAAAAATTTTGTATTATATGTACTCAGTTTTTATCAATATCAGAAAGCAGTACATAACTGTATGAACCATTTTCATTTTGAAGCAAAAAGAAATAATAAATAACAAAAAAAAAACTAAACATCTGTTAATAACAGTAGAAGTGTCAAGAAAAGTATTAAAAAAAATCTGATATCACAAAAAATTTGATAATCCATTGAGCACCCTCTCTATGTGATTATCTGCAAAACAAGAAAAGCATTTTAAAAACTTTCAATAAGCAATGTCATTATAGAGAACAGAAAAGAAAGCATAAGCATGAGTATTTATAATTTTTTCATTAATGGTAAGTACAGTAGATCCCCCTATAAGACTAGTTCCTATAATTACGATTCCTATAAGACGGCGAAAAAATTGTGGCGGTATCCATACACAACGGTAAAAAAACTTCTTTAATTACGTAAAACGTCATCGGGCAGCCAAACTATTTTCCCGCCGTCCAGCGCCACGCTACGGACAGTTTAGGTAAACTATCATCTGTACAGTATGTAAATTAGGTACTGTAAGTCTAATACAGTACTGTAATTTTATACATTTCTTGTGAAAGAAACATTTCTTATTCAACGGCGATAAAAATTACTTATATTAATGATGTCTCCAAAGTTCAGCGAAGTTTTCGCAGAAAAATAACATCAGAAATCGCGGCCGCAGTTTGCTGAGCTGTTCCGCGACGAAAAAAAGCTTGAGCAACGGCGATGTCGAATGGTGCACACTCGGTAAGTAATCCTACAATTTTTTGTTTATAGCGTAGTTTATACGGATTATTTCCAAAAAAAAATATATGTATTTTGGAAATGTTGAGTTGGATTAGTCTAGAATCGATTAATTTTAAGAAAGAAAACCTTTCAAACAGCCGTAGTCCGTAAACTTCACACGTGTCGGGCTGTGATTGGCTGTGATTCCTACAAAATCGGATTCATAAAGAACAGAACGTATCTACCGTCTTATAGGGAGATCTACTGTATATCTTGTTACTTTGCTCATGTATAGACTAAAAGTTTGTCAATCCAACACCTGAAAATCCAAAATGTCCAGTAACCCAAAAGCATTGCTTCAATTTTTCAATTTATGTTAAGCATAAAGAATAATTTATTAACATAAATAAGATAAAGTTAAATAAAATTCATTATAAAGACTTATATGTACTGTATGAAAAACTTTCTTAAAAAACAAACTGATTGAAAATTAACACCCTTTGAGAATTAGTCAATAATCCAGAACTGTCCAGAAACAAATTAATGCCAAACAATCTGCTGAATTATCAGGCTATTTTTGGGCTACATTAATATATTTGGCAGATCATTAATTAATTAAATCAGGTTATGAGTTGTTATTATATGCTGTCTGACCATAATTTTGCATGCAAAATATCCTGTAGATCAGAATTCGTTTGGATTTGATGCATTAAGACCCTGTGCAAAAATACAGTACAAATCAAGAAAGTAATTATTATATGCATATGAATCATTGTAAATGTTTATTTTTGCAATAACATGTTCATTAATGTTTTTACAAGTTTTTCAAACACAGTACAGTCGTGTACTGTATCATCTTCAAACTGATTACAAAGCATACATAAACAAATTGGAAGCATACAGTCTATCTGTATTGTCTGTATTTATGATATTTATGATTTCATTAAAGTAATGGTAATTTTTTTAACTCAAAATTTTGTTAACTTGAAAATTAATCTCTATACCTTTCATTTTAAGTTATCAAGAGTCTATTGTATATTATAGATTTTATTACAGTTTTAACTATATAACTTACATTTGAAAAGATATATTTCCTTGGCTACATTAAATTAAACTGCATAAATTAAATAATAAGTATATTACTTAAAACAAACAATATTAATTTGAATTATTTTTAATATATAAATAAAATACTAAACCTTTTTTATATTCTCTAGTTCAAAGTTGTCCTTTGTTCCTAGGAAAAAACAATAAGAAAAATATATACAAAATTTTATTAAAAACTATTCTAATTCTGCAGTTATTAGTAAGGATCAGTTTACATCTAGTTATTTTTATATACAGAGTAATCATAATTAGTTACCTATTCCAAAGAAATCTATTAACCCGACAATTGTAAAACTTAATAACTATACTAATGAGATAATGAGGAAAACTTAAATAAAAAATTTAAAAAAAACCTAGTTCTAATTCATGTGAATAGTGAAAAAAATTTAAATAACTATAACAAAAATGCAACTTAGATTCATAAGCATTGGATTTGCTTAATTTTGCATCAATAATGATATATTTTCATAAAAAATAAACAATAACTTCTATCTGGTAGGAGGCACAATATTAAATTATCTATTTAAGGTAAAGGCATTCAATGGAAGTGATAATTTCCTCAAAATAAAAATGCTATCTCTTTTTAAAATAAAATAAAAACTTATTTTAAAAACAGATAGCATTCTATCTAGTGTTTACAAAATTTCTTCTTTAACTTCTACCCCTGATGACAAACATCTGTAAGATCTCTGATACAGAAATAAATAATAGACTAAAAACAAAATTAAAGTACTTTCCATTTTCTTTTTTTATGAAACCATTACATATCTTTAAGAAATAACTAAATTACTTTAATTTTTAATTATTAATAAATAAATATGCTTCTACAAACATTCAAAAAATCAAAACATTTCTTAAAATTTTTCAATAATTTAAAAGTTTAATATATTCAAATATTTTAAATTTTAAATATATTTAAAATGATGAACACACACAATCTATAAAGGTATAATCATACCATTTGACTGTATAGGAGTACTTGCTGCCAAGACTGGACTTGAAGTATAACTTGGTGATAATGTGATAATAAAATTGCTGGAAAAAAAATCATGAAATAAAATATTACAATGCTTAGTGATCATTTTTATTTAATCATATTTATTTTGTTACCTATCATCAACTTCTGATTCACAGGATAGCTGAAGAACAGAAACAGGGTCATTTTGTGATTTTGAATCTAAATATAAGCATAAAAATAATTTATTACATAGAATCCAAAATAAAATTTATATTATTACAATAAACTTAAACTTTATGATACACTTGAAAAATTTTATTACAAAAATCATAATATTTATTATAATTTTATTTTATTTTTTTAATGTGTAAAATCCTTATAAGATAAAGATTTTATACTACTTTGTCTTAAACTGAAAATAGCATTCATTATCAAAACTGAATGTTTAAATTTCATTAGTTATTTGTTTTTTTAATCTATGATTTATGTATGTAACAAACAATAAGAAAATAGCTATCATAAACAGATGTAAATTTACTCATAGATAAACCAGTCTAATCAATTGAGAACGGCCTAGAGAACTGTGCTAAACTGGATAAAATTTTGTTAAGGCTAGATAATGACATTTATTCAAGTATATCCAATGATAACATGGAAAGTCTTGTTGGGTGGTTACAATACTTTATGTGAATGATCATCCATAGAATAATGAAAAAAATCAAGAATATACATATAATTTAATTTAAACTCAAATAATTAGTCAAACTTAAGCCTAAACTGTCTATTTTTCAAAAATACTATTGATCTAGAGAATTCAACACACATTCAGGGTTGACATTTTCTTACAAAATTTTCCAGCATATTCCAAGAATTTTTTAAATTACATTTAAAACTAATTTCTAATCATTAATCTTTATACAAAAATATAACTTAACTGCCCATCTTTAGGCCAAAAATTTGGATATTTATTAAGAGATATTCATATTAATTTAGTTGAAAAAAACATATTTTTGACTGTATTGATTATTCATCTTTAAGCATAATATAAAATGTACTATTTTATTAATTAAAGTTACTTCAATATAGTCTGAAAAATAATGCTGCAATTTACAGGTAAGGTCAGTTCAAAACAATAAAATAAATATGAACTTATTTCATGAACTTAAAATACTTATTTGCAACAAATTTCATGAACAATAAGTATTGCATTGCAATACTTATTGTTCATGAAATTTGTTGCAAATAAGTATTGTAATGCAATTACTGTATTTGAAATTAAATTAATTTACTCAAAATCTAACATATTGTTATGTGCATGACCTAATTTTGGGTGCTAAAATCAACAGATTGCATACTGATTTTCCAGTTACATAGAGAGTTTGGTCTCTGTGCATTACACTCTGTGATATATATATATATGGCTATCTTTTTTTTTTTTTTAAATCATTTCAGATAACCCAGAGTTTTGAATAATTGAGTTTCTACTGTAATTTCTCCACAATCTAAGACCTTTGTATCATTTATTCCTGGATTCAACCAATTATATTTTTCAATCAAAATATTTATCAAATTTCTTAATTCACTTAATTAATTTTAACCTAATTAATTTTTAGATCCTAACAGTACAAAATAGAATTTTAAAAAATTGAACCAGATATTTCTGAAGTTCAATAAGCTCATTCATAAAACTGTTCTCTCATAGTCAGCAATAGCATTAGCTGTGAACAGAACTGACATACACTTTTTAGTACAATACAGAAAATATAGTTCATTGTACTTTTGCTTAAGTTTTGTAAAAATAAATTAATTTATCAATTATTTTATTGTTTTTCCAAACTGATTACTTTGATGGTGATAGAAATCACTCTTACAATTGACTCAATTGGTTATTGATGTAAAAAATTATAACTCAAAAATAATAAGAAGTTATAGTTTATACTTTTATCCATTGAATATTTTTTAAATGAGACCATCATTAAATGAACTTCATTTTTCTAAAATATAGACGATTTTAATCATTCAAGTTTCATGTTTAAGTTGTTTATTATTGCTTAATATCCCATGTTAATACTGTAATATAATTGTTTTAAAACTTAACATACCTTTCTCAGTCTGGCTTACATCTTCGCATACAGGTTTTTTTTCCAAACTAAAAATAAACATGTAGCATTAATTAATTCTTTCATAAGTTAAAAAAATTTTTTAAATTATTTTAGTAAAAGAATATTAATTGTTTTCATTTTTGATCATTTTAAACCAAAATAGCATTTTAAAAGAATGTTTTAAAATTTTATCATTATTTACCAAAAAATAATTTTAAAACTTATAAGAAATCAAACAGTATAGTTATTTATAGTTTCTACACTGTAACCATACATTTCATTCCACAAAAAACAATCTACTCTTGAAATAAGAAGAATCAATCAACTTCTACCATAAAATCATAAAAATAGTACTATTAAAATCTTTACAATTGCCCGTTCATATTACATTATAAATCAAGTATCAATACAACGAAATAACTAGATTCAATGGATATACTCATTATATTTGCCACTTGTGAATCACTTCATTTACACAATTATCCTTCTTACCAGGCAGTTTGTTAGTTAAATGTAAACACTTTAAAGTATATTAAATGCAGACAATTTTCATATATCTTTTTGTTATATATGAAGAATAATTTTTTGCTTTTTTAATTTACTTTATGCTTACTTTTTATGCATTAATTCAAAATAAAATTTGTTATAACAGTAATTATTATTTTAATTTAAAATCTGTATTTAATTTTTTGCATTAATATATAAAAATGGCAATAAAATGCATCGAATATAATTAAAAAATAATTTTTATAATTGAAATTACATAGTCATAGGTTCTTGAGATTTAAAAAAATCTCAATCTCCAGAACAAAAATAATTGAGACTCAGCAATCTTAATTGTACAGTAGACCCCCTATAACACGGACTCCTATAATGGAGATTCCTATAATGTGGCGAAAAAATTGTGACGGTATTCGTATAAAGACGCTAAAAGGGACTCGTAAAACGTCGTCGCCGACTCGTGTTGCGACAGTATTGGTCGAATCTGGACCAATAGTAGATAAGCAGCCGAACTACTTACATGCTACAGAGAGTTTAGGCAAGTAAGTTGAGTTTACTATCGTCTGTACAGTATTATATATAAATTAGGTACTGTATATATAATTATATATTAACTTAATTTATTTTAACTTTATTATAATTACATATATACTTTCCGCCGTCCAGCGCTATGCTACAGAGAGTTTAGGCGAGTAAGTTGAGTTTATTATCGTCTGTACAGTATGTAAATTAGGTACCGTAAGTCTAATACAGTACTGTAATTTTATACATTTCTTGTAAAGGAAACATTTCTTATTCAACAACCATAAAAATTATTTATATTAATGATGTCTCCAAAGGTCAACAAATTTTTCGCAGAAAAATAACTTATCAGAAATCGCGACCACCGTTTGGTGCGCTGCTCCGCGACAAAAACAAGCTTAAGCAATGGCAACGTCAAACGGTGCACACTTGGTAAGTAATCCTACAATTTTTTGTTTATAGCATAGTTTATATGGATTATTCCCAAAAAATTATACATGTTTTGGAAATGTTAAGTCGAATTAGTCTAGAATTGATTAATTTTATGGAAGAAAACCTTTCAAACAGCCATAGTCCGTAAACTTCACACATGTCGGGCTGTGATTGGCTCATGTATTTAAGGATTCCTACAACGTGAAATTCGTATAACGTGGAACGTATCTACGCGTTATAGGGGGGTCTACTGTATATAATAATAATTTTTTTCATTTTATATATAAATTTCATAATCATTTTTTCCTCTGTGTTTGCTTATTAATATCAGTTTAATTTAATGATTGATCCATTGATCAGCTATGAAAACATTGTAAATATACAAATTATGATAAAATTGGTATAGTATCTACACTACATAGCAGTCAATTCTCCACATTCATGAGAGGGTAGAGGAGCAGGATCCTCTACAAAAGTGAAAAATCCACAAATACCTCTATGCTGCCCAAACCATAACTCTTACCCACACACAAAGAAAGAAAGACAATACAGTACTTGTACAGTATGTGATGCAATATATGTATAGTAAGCAGACAGTAAAATAATTAAAGTTTATAAAATACAATTATATACAGTAATATGTTTTATAAACTTTTAATAAAACTATGAGAAATGCAAAATACACCACACACTAGACCAGTAATTTTCAACCGATGTGCTGCAGGACACCAGCTGAAAAATCACTAGAGGAGAGGATCCTATGTGTGCCGTTAAATTTTTGAAGGTTATTAAATAAATTATTTTGGAAAGAAGACCAAAGAACAATAAGTGCACATGTCAAAATTAAAACCACTTTAAATTGATTATACGAGATTTTCACTGTTATAATGAATAAACATATACATAATGTAGTAAAAAATATATATTCACAAGCAAAATATATGAGCATAACACCAAGTTATTTCATTTAAAATAAAATTTTCTTTAAATCAAAAATTTATCTATAACTATCCATATTTAGTTCAAATTAACTTTTTAACTTAGAAACAGAGGGACATTGAGCAGGTTTCTAAAGGCAATTATCATGCCACTTTTAAATGCAAATTAAGACTTAATTGCTTTTCTGATGTAAATGAAAATTACTAATTTAAATAACTAACTATGCTGCTATTTTAAGGAACAACAATACTGTTTTATTTAATTCACAATAAATATAAACAAAAAGAAATAGGTTAAGTGGCAAGTAATATGGCAATAAAATGTTGACAAACACAACTTTAAATTGTGATTTTTTCCATGGAAATTTGTGCCATGAAAATTTAATTATAGGTTCAAGTGTGCTATGAGATAAAAAAAAAAAGTTGAAAAACACTGCACTAGACAAAACACATGACTAAAACTTGCTAGAACCATAACAAAAAGCATTATGTCCTCAAAACAGCGTTTATAGACCTCAGTTCCTTAGCACACTGCACTGAAACTTTTTATGATAAATTTGTGTATATTTATGGTAGTAAGTAATAAGTAATAATATGGTAATAAGTAATAAGTAATTTATGGTAGTAAGTAATCATAAATGCATAAAATATCTGTATTATTAATCTACTAATAATACAGATATTTTATGCATTTATGATTTACTAAACTTTTTTAGTTTCTTTACATTTTCTAGTTTATATACATCATATGCAATTTTCTGCAGTAAGCCATAAAAAGCAAAAATAAAAAATTCCCATTATTTTTAACAAACTCATAAATAATAAAAAAAAACCTATCAAAGTTGAGATTTAACATTTTCTTTAACTGAAACAAGTACTTTTTGTCCAAGATTAAACAGACTTTAGCCTTCAAAAGTTATGAATAGTAAGTAAAACTTAAACATTAAATAGAAAAATTATATATACAAATATAGACATAATTATTACAAACTATTGGAAAGCAAAATTGGAATGCAATATACTATAGACACATACAACTTTTAAGTCCCAACAGTGTAATTTAAATTGTAAATGTTTTAGATCATTTTCAACAACCATCACTGGTTCAAAATTATTAGAATTCCAATAAAATTTGAGTAGATTCCAATAATTTGTTCAATTATTTTGTTTGTTTAAATTTTGCTCAATGTTGACCATTTAAAATGCTCAAAAACATTTGCAATGTAAATTATACTGCTGGAACTTATTGTGTGCATTTATAGTATTTTTAATAATCTTTCAATAAATAAGTAGTATATCTAATTTATCTTTGAAATTAATTAAATATGAGTTTCAATATATTCTATTTCCTTTTTATAACAAATATTAATAGTTAGTTAAAAAACCAAGTTGAAAGCAAAACTATTTAGACTGCTGAATATGACATGATGCCAATTTCTTATTGCATGGAATTATGCATATTTTATTATTTATAGTTCTCTGATTTAGAATTATCTAATTCAAATCAGTCTAAAACTAAAATTATATTCTTTAATTGTCTTTATTTTTTAATTTCATTTAACTATAAAAATAATTTATAATCGATCAATTTTTTAAATAAATTAATATTAAAATTTTCGATATTGGAATATTAAACTTAATATTAAATAAATCATTTAATATTAAGTTTAAATATTCACTAACATTAGTGAATATTTACTTCTAAATTATTAAATTAGTAAATATTTATTTTTTCTTATTTATCATATTTTCATGTGTATAATCTGTAGATATTGCTCCATAATTTCAAGTTCGTAACTGCAATTTAAAATCGGCATATGACTCATTCCATTGCATAACCAAAACCTCTTTCAAAATGTCTTTTAAACAGAGATAACCCACAAATTATAGCACAAAAATACAATATGTTTACTTAAATTAATTAATTAAAATATCTATAACCATAAGGTAGATAATAGGAAGGGCTTATCACACCAATGACAAAGGGCACAAACGCTCAAAAATCAAAGTAAAAAAAATTTAATAAAACAAATAGGGTTGTACAATAAGATGATTACATAAGTATAAAAACCGTAAAAATCCAAAATGCATTTCAATTTTTCAATTTTCCAATGGGAAAATAGTCCCTCATCAGTTGGTAATAGCGACAGGTCTTAGTATACTTAAAATTATACAAGGTGAAAAAATATTAAATTTAAAATTAAACTAAAAAATATGCCTAAAGCTATACAATATAAAGATGAAACCATCGACATGACTGTACGAGCAGTAAGCATTATCAATGTGGACAGGAGTAATGTTTCTTCCTAACATTGCATGGTAAGATGATGAACAGGGTGCTGATACAAAAATAGTTATAAGTTAGCCGAAATATTGGTTAACAGTTATGAACTAATATTATACAGTCAGTTTAAATTATGTACATACCAAAAACAGTAGAACAGAGTTGCAGGTTCAGACATTTCTACAAGATGCAGGGAGCGGTTATAACAGAGGTGTGTTACCTTACACACCTGGAGCACAAGTGGTGACAACATATGATGCAGCCCGATGTCACTGTTAATTTTATCTATTTTAACTTTTAATAGATGAAGGCCCATGCTCATAGATATTTTATTTTTTATAGATTTTTATAGATTTATAGATTTTTATAGATTATAGATTTTTATTTTATAGATATTTCATAGATATGCTGGTAATAGATATTTTAATTAATTAATTTAATTATACTAAGGGCTAAAAGCAATTTCTGCAATATGTTTACTATTAGTAACTAAGTGTAATATCAATAATTAATTAATTTAATTAATTAATTAAAAAATAGCCAATAATCAACTGAAACTATTGAATATTATCAGTCTAATTCTTATGCCCTAAACAATATAATATCAAAATAATAATATCCAAAAGCAAAATACATATTGCATTAATTTCTAGTTAAAAAAAATAGGAATATATTTTTAAAAATTTACAAAAATACAAAAATAGCAAATTTTTAGAATGACTCCTCTTAAAAATTATTATTAGAAGAGAAAAATATGGATTATGAATATTTTTATATTAGTAAATTTAGAATTTTATTTTCAAACAAAAACTTTTAATAAATATTTGAAGTCTATAATAGAAGGTTAAAATTTACCATTCTTTATGTGCATCTTTAGAGACGTCTTCATTTTCTGTCTTGGAACTATCTTGTTTGCATTCTTCATTATTTAAATTATCTTCTGATAAATTCATATCATCAGCCATCCTTCATATTATTCTAACAATTAGAAAATTGCAAATATTTAAATTTCCAATAAACTTGTATGAGACAAAATTTTGAATAACATTTTAATTTTATTTCATTTTATCAGGGGCGTGCTGTGACATTTGACGATAGGGAAGCTGTGTTTCTGTAAGAAGCCGACATCCAGGGGCAATCAGTCAATTGCGCGTCAGTGATGGTTTAGGGTCTATTTGTATCCTTTATTCAATAAGCCAGTAAAAACCGTAGACTTCTCTAAATGCATTTTTAATATCACAATTACATTCCGAATTGCTAGCCACAATATAAGGGCTACAATTAAAAATAAAATAATAAAAACTTACTCAGTGAAATAAAATATGTGGTGGATGTACTGGTGTGAAATGTTCAACGTGGACAGGTAAACACATACACATTTTACCAATTAAACGAGTTTAATTTCGCGCAGAATTTGAAATATATATACAGAATAGGTTTGGATTCCCGCTGTTCTCCTTCAAACGTTCCACAATCTTGAGTGACCAGGTATATCAATAGACCGGTAGTTAATTTCTCGATAACTACCTCCCGACAATTTATTTGCACGCGTAAACCTTAACCTAACTTAAACTAAAAATAGAAAAAGTAGAAGGGGAAATGAGAAGAATTAAAGGACAGAAGGGTACCCAATATTCCAGTTGGTTCTCCACCGTTCCTCGTCTCGGCTTCTCTTTCTCATCTGCTCTCCTCTTAGAACAACTGGGGTCCGTTTTGGGGTTTTTTCTCTATAATCGTCGACCGAATTCTTCTACCGATTCGCTTCTTACAACCTCCTTCTGCAGCACTCCTCGACTTTCCGTTCAAGAGCCTGCTGCCACTCGTCTGTCTCTCTCCTAGTCTGGCTTAAGAATGCTTCTAGAAACTCTTCCTTTTCCCCTCCAGCCTCGTTTTCTCCTTTTGTTCTAACGCTACCCCCTGATGGGTTAGAGGTGAGGCGAGTTCTTGGAAGTCCGAGACAAAGGAACACAGAAATCGGAAAGAAGGAAAATTTCTAGAATTTAAATTAAACTAAAACTATACAGACTAATAATAATAATAAAAACAGGCGTGTAGCCACACTGGTACATACAAAATATTCTTAAATTGTATGAATATACTTTTAAAGAAAATTATAATTAAATATAGTTTTGTGAAGAAACATACATAAAAATATAAAATATTCTTTACGTTTTAAATCTTAAAACAATGCACATAGTCAAATAGCTCCCTACGAGTAGCTAATGGATGGAATCAAAGACAGTTGCAGAGCGTGCATACACGCGGACTGTCAAATCCCCAGGGTGCCGATACCGGTCAATGTCAAATACCTGTTTTGTTGCATCATTAGTATATCTCAAAGGACGCGACAGGGCTGTTGTAGATTTTAAACGTTTCTCACCATAGCTGTAAAAATCTAAATATGTTAAACTTAATAGTCATTTATTTTCTAATTAATTCGTTTTAGGGCCAAGTGTCCTCAGAAATTTCCAAAATTTACAACTTTTTGGTCACTCTCATTGAACTGGAAAAATTTCTGTCTTTATTACATTAATAATACGAAGAAATCAGTCCAACTGTACTCAACTAGAGATGGTTCGATTAAGCTTTTGTTTAAGTAAAATTTTGGCTCTTTCGTCAGGGTTTTGTTTATGTCCCCAATTCTCTAATCGCTTAATTACTTAACTACTTCTTAAGTAGAAATAAGTCGAAAGCAGTTACTTTGTACTCGAATATTTGTAGTCTCGGGAAAAAAGTGGAATGACAAATTTTTATGACAAACGGATACATAAATCGTAAATTTAAGGAAAAAAATCACATACACAGAACCAATTTACGGTGTGGTACAACAAAAAAATAACAGAAAACAAATGTTTTCAAACCCCTTCTGGGCTCTTCATCAGGTTCCTACAGTTTTAGCTCGTAAATTCAAATAACAAATGTCGTTCAAATAAGTTTGATCTTGAGTTTGAATCGTTCTTTTAAAATTATATGACACGCATGCGTGCTGAGTCTGCCTACTCAGATATAACGGGCGGCTAAATCGTGTTGTGAATCAACTCTTGCCAGGCCATCGACAAAAGCATCTCCTCTTTAAAATTTATGCACGTAGTTTCGATAGAGGCTTTAAAGATGTGCATCACCTCTAACCATTTGAGATGATCATTGGGAGGCGCGCCTAGGAGAAGATTGGCCTGAGTAAAGTCGGCAACTATTTCCGGGTCCGTTACGTATTTGTTTAGCATTGTTGGGATAACACTTTACACAACCAGATTCTTGAGATGGCACATCTGATATGTTATAATTCTGTGTTCCAGTTCAATGGAGAGGTCTACACACAAGGCAGAGGGGTCCCCATGGGCAGCCCGGTGTCAGGGGACCTATGTGAGATGGCAGTCCGGCAGTTGGAGAACAAAGTCCTCCCACAATTCCTCCCTAACATCGCACTATATAGGAGATATATTGACAACATTATTATTTTTTGAAAAATTGTGCCTGATATAACAGCCTTAGTAGATTCTTTTAATAATAACCCATATGGCTTGACGCTAGAATTAAACAATCTGACCCCACTGAGGTCCATTTCCTAGATATAAATATTATGTTAGAAAACGATGGCATCAGCACTACAGTATATCATAAACCAGGATCTATGTCGTCGTACATCCCGGTGGGATCATGCGATCCGGTTCCCTACAAGACTGCGGCATTTAAAGTGTTAATCAGAAGAGCCTTCACACATTCTTCTAACGTCCAGGCTCGAGATAGGGAGCTAGCGTCTATACAGAGAGTAGCCACAGAACATGGGTATAGCAAAGTTATACATAAAGATGGTACAGCATTATAGCTGGATATATGCAGACAGCGCACGGTTTGTGGACCAACACAATGATAACCAACTGGAAGACATAGAACGGATCCCCATCACCTATAACCCATACCTAAGATCTATATATGCTAAGATCGTCAAGAAGTGCCAAATAAGTATTGCGTACAGGAGGTGTCCCACCATTTTTAACATCTTAAATAATGGGAAAGGCCCTCCTAACCCCAGCAGAAGACCTGGAGTCTATAGTGTCCCTTTGAAAGACAACAGATTCAATAGGAATTTAGTATATATAGGCTCTACTAAAAGGTCCATAGGCATCAGAATGCAAGAACATCAGGCTGATATTCATCACGGGAGAACCAACACGACCCTTGCAACGTACGTAACGGACCCGGAAATAGTTGCCGACTTTACTCAGGCCAATCTCCTCCTAGGCGCGCCTCCCAATGATCATCTCAAATGGTTAGAGGCAATGCATATCTTTAAAGCCTCTATCGAAACTACGTGCATAAATTTTAAAGTGGAGATGCTTTTGTCGATGGCCTGGCAAGAGTTGATTCACAACACGATTTAGCCGCCCGTTATATCCGAGTAGGCAGACTTGGAAATAGTTGCCGACTTTACTCAGGCCAATCTCCTCCTAGGCGCGCCTCCCAATGATCATCTCAAATGGTTAGAGGCAATGCATATCTTTAAAGCCTCTATCGAAACTACGTGCATAAATTTTAAAGTGGAGATGCTTTTGTCGATGGCCTGGCAAGAGTTGATTCACAACACGATTTAGCCGCCCGTTATATCCGAGTAGGCAGACTTGGCACGCATGCGCGTCGTATAATTTTAAAAGAACGATTCAAACTCAAGATCGAACTTATTTGAACGACATTCGTTATTCGAATTTACGAGCTAAAACTGTAGGAACCTGATGAAGAGCCCAGAAGGGGTTCAAAAACGTTTGTTTTTCGTTATTTTTTTGTTGTACCACACCGTAAATTGGTTCTGTGTATGTGATTATTATTGAGGTGTAGTGAGTAGTTTGTTTTAAGGAAAATAAATTCTAGAGCTTTTTCTGTACCTCGTGCATCTCTCTCATTCATTAAATTTAGTTGTAAATGACACTGTCGAAGTAACAGTTAATTTTTTAACATTATACAAGAATTGTACACGTTTTTTTTTTCTACATCCCCTTAAAGATGGGTTTAACATTGAAAATCCTATAAAAATCGTAATATCACTGGTTTAACATTGAAATCCATGAGTAGTATAAAATCGGAGAGCGGAAAAAATATATCAAATATTTTAATGGATGTTTTTAACTCTTGTCAACTATACAGAACTATCGTAAAAACATACCAGTAAATTCTTATCGGTTGGGTTAAGTTATAAATCTACTCGTTATTCACGTAATCGGCCAAATATCTGGCAGGCGGGCGGCTAACAGCCCAGAACCGGTCCCGGATAGAATTGGAAGCGTTATATGTGTAGCATCGACCCAAGGTCGTAGGCTTCCACCAGCTAAACCGGGTGAAATTGATGATCCGTAAAGTGCATGTGCGAATCTGGCTTTTTGGAATCTGACAATACAGAGATTCCACTCCGCCACTAATATTCGAATATACAATAGCAATCTTATTTTTTTTTTCACGTGTAGTATAGAAATTTGTAATAAGATACATGATGCAGTTATAACAAAATATTGTGTGATTATTTTCATATAATTAAAATTAATGTGCATTTATTTTTTATAAAATACAAGGGAAGCGGCGCTTCCACCGCTTCTAATGACGGCACGCCACTGCATTTTATATACTTACTAGCTTACCCGTCGCGCATTGCTGCAATCTCAGAAGAAAGAAAATTCAAGCAAACTCGTTATGATAAAATTCAATTTACATTTTATCATTTTCATTGAAACTTATTATTATTATTGATTTTCATCGGGAAAACATTTCAAAGTGTCGTTTCAATTCTATTTATATATTGGAGTGTTTGTAGATACACGATATTTTTTGTTTTTCCGTCTGGTGCGTACACGAATAAATCGGAAAATTTTTCGACGTGTGAGCCGGCCACATACAGTTGTCCATGCGAGTAGCACGGATTCTCCAAATTTAGCCCACACACTCGCTGCAATTGTCAGAAGTGCGATATTCCCCATTTTTATATATATTTT